TTGGCTTCGAAGAACATCTTTATTTCTGCCTTCATTTCATTGTTTATCCAGTCAACATTCAAGAGCAAGTTGTTCAGTTTCCATGAAGCTGTGCGGTTCTGAGTTAGTTTTTGAATTCTGAGTTCTAACTTGATTGCACTGTGGTCTGAGAGACTGTTTGTTACGATTTCCGTTCTTTTGCATTTGCTGAGGAGTGATTTACTCCCAATTATGTGGTCAATTTTAGAGTAGGTGTGATGTGGTGCTGAGAAGAATGTATATTCTGTGGATTTGGGGTGGAGAGTTCTGTAAATGTCTATTAGGTTTGCTTGGTCCGGGTCTGAGTTCAAGTCCTGGACATCCTTGTTAATTTTCTGTCTGGTTGATCTGTCTAATGTTGACAGTGGGGTGTTAAAGTCTCCCACTATTATTGTGTGGGAATCTAAGTCTCTTTGTAAGTCATTAAGAACTTGCCTTATGTATCTGGGTGCTCCTGTATTGGGTGCATATATATTTAGGATCGTTAGCTCTTCTTGTTGCATTGATCCTTTTACCATTATGTAATGTCCCTCTTTGTCTCTTATGATCTTTGTTGCTTTAAAGTCTAATTTATCAGAGATGAGAATTGCAACTCCTGCTTTTTTTTGCTCTCCATTTGCTTGGTAAATCTTCCTCCATCCCTTTATTTTGAGCCTTTGTGTATCCTTGCATGTGAGATGGGTTTCCTGGATACAGCACACCGATGGGTTTTGTCCTTTTATCCAATTTGCCAGTCTGTGTCTTTTGACTGGGGCATTTAGTCCATTTACATTTAGGGTTAATATTGTTATGTGTGAATTTGATACTGCCATTTTGGTGCTAGCTGGGTGTTTTGCCCTTTAGTTGAGCTGGTACTTGTTGTTCCTTTATATGTGTAGAGCCTCTTTCAGGAGCTCTTGTAGAGCTGGCCTGGTGGTGACGAAATCTCTGAGTACTTGTAAGTTCCCAAAGGATTTATTTTTCCTTCACTTATGAAGCTTAGTTTGGCTGGATAGGAGATTCTGGGTTGAAAGTTCTTTTCTTTAAGGATGTTGAATATTGGCCCCCATTCTCTTCTGGCTTGTAGGGTTTCTGCTGAGAGATCTGCTGTGAGTCTGATGGGCTTCCCTTTATGGGTAACCCGACCTTTCTCTCTGGCTGCCCTTAGTATTTTCTCCTTCATTTCCACCCTGGTGAATCTGACGATTATGTGCTTTGGGGTTGCTCTTCTTGACGAATATCTTTGTGGTGTTCTCTGTATTTCCTGGACTTGAATGTTTGCCTGCCTTGCTAGGTTGGGGAAGTTTTCCTGGATAATATCCTGAAGAGTATTTTCCAGCTTGGATTTATTCTCTTCGTCACATTCAGGTACGCCTATCAAACGCAGATTAGGTCTTTTCACATAGTCCCACATTTCTTGGAGACTTTGTTCATTCCTTTTTACCCTTTTTTCTCCAGTCTTGCCTTCCCATTTTATTTCATTGAGTTGATCTTCGACCTCTGATATCCTTTCTTCTGCTTGGTCAATTCGGCTGTTGATACTTGTGCATGCTTCACGAGTTCTCGTGTTGCGTTTTTCAGCTCCATCCATTCACTTATATTCCTTTCTATTTTGTCCATTCTCGTTAGCATTTCGTCAAATCTTTTTTCAAGGTTCTTAGTTTCTTTGCATTTGGTTAGAACATGTTCTTTAAGTTCACAGAAGTTTCTTACTACCCACCTCCTGAAGTGTGATTCTGTCATTTCATCACACTCGTTCTCCCTCCATCCTTGTTCCCTTGCTGGTGAGGAGTTGTGATCCCTTGTAGGAGGAGAGGTGTTCTGCTTTCGGGTGTTTTCATCCTTTTTGCGCTGGTTTCTTCCCATATTTAAGGATTTATCCACCTGTAGACTTTGTAGTTGCTGGCTTTCAGATTGGGTCTCAAATCTTTCAGATTGACGTTCTGTTTGTTGATGATGAGGTTATTTCTGTTTCTTGGTTTTCCTTCTGACAGTCTGGCCCCTCTGCTATAGGTCTGCTGAGGTTCACTCCAGGCCCTGCTTGCCTGGGGTTCACCTGCAGCAGCTGCTGAACAGTAAGGGTTGTTACCAGTTTTCTTCTTCTGCTATCTTTGTCCCAGAAGGATACCTGCCTAGTGTCAATCTGATCTCTCTTTTATGAGGTGTCTCTTTAGATATATAGGGGTTAGGGAGCTGCTTGAGGAGACGGTCTCTTCTTTAAAGGAGCTCAAATGGTGAGCTGTGAGCTCTGTTGTTGTTCATTCAGAGCTGCTGGGCAGGTACTTTTAAGTCTGCTGCAGCAGAACTCATAAACTGCTTTTTGTTCCCAGGTGCTCTATCCCAGAGATTTAGGGCTTTATTTATGAGTTTCTGTTATGCTGCCGCCTTCTTTTTTTTTTTTCCTTCAGACCTGCCCAGCCCAGCAAGGAGGCAGCCTAGTCACTGTCGGCCTATAGAGGCTTTCCTGAGCTGCTGTGGGCGCCGCCCTGCTGCCAAGTGAACTTCCCTGCAGTCCTATTTATATGGGTGTAGTTAGAACTGCTTTGGTGATGGTTGCCCGCCTCTGTTGAGGCGGAGTCTCTCTGCTGTGGCGGGTTGCCTTGGCAACGGCGGGCTGCCTCAGCAATGGCGGGTTGCCTTGGCAATGGCGGGCTGCCTCAGCAATGGCGGGTTGCCTTGGCAACAGCAGGCTGCCTCAGCATTGGTCGACTACCTTGGTAGTGGCGGGCTGCCTCGGTAATGGTGGACGCCCCTCCCCCACAGAGCTGGACCGGCCCGGGTTCAGCTGCGCTTGCTGCGAAAGTCTCAATCCAGAGTTTCTGGTTGCTGTTCTTTTGTGGGGGTGGGACCAGCCGAGCCTGATTGCCTGGCTCCCTGCCTCAGCTTCTTTTTTAAGTTGGTGTTCCAGTCGCCTGTTGAAGAGGCGCCGGGGTCTGTTTGTTTTCCCGTGGCCACTCACTGTGCTGGCTTAAACAGCGGCACTGAGGTTTGTGGTGCTTTTTTTTTTTTTTTTTTGCCCTGGAATCTACTGTCCTGGTTCTCTGCTCAGTCCCTTTTTTGAACCGGCGAATGGGCCACTTCCCGTGGCTCCAATCGCCAGCCAAAAGGGCACCCGGACCGGTGTATTATGTATGGAGAACCGCGGCTCCGGGGTGCCGACAAAGCAGCTGCGCGGGGCAAAGCAGCGGCGCCGGCAGAGCCGCGCTGGCCGAAACAGCCGCGCTGGCGACCGTGGAGCACCTCCGCCCGGGGATTTCCTAGTCTGTGGGCAATAAAAACGCGGCGTCCACTCACCCTCTGCGCTTTCACTGGGAGCTGCAATCCTGAGCTGTTCCTAAATGGCCATCTTGGATCCTCCCTCCATGAATATTTTTTATAGCATCCAAGAAAACAACTGAATAAGTCATAGATCCATTTTTATTTCCTTCATTTATTCCAGGGAGGCCAGAATCTATAGAACATTTTATATGTCTTTTATTTTTTAGTTCCTTATGTCTAGCATTATTATAAAGAAAATAAGCCAGGCACAGTAGTGCTTTGGGAGGCCAAGGCAGCAGGATCACTTGGGGTGGCAGGATCCCTTGGGGCCAGGAGTTTGAGGTTAGCCTGGGCAAGGTAGCAAGGCCCTGTCTCTATGGGAAAAAAATGCATTTTTTCCCCCAAAAATAAAAAGACCAACTTCCTTTCCAAAGTAATAATAATAATAAAGATGACAACACCTCTCTGTGAAGCAGTTAAATGACATAGTAAGAAGCACGAATGTAACCAAACTGTGTTGCAAGGATATCATGTTTCACCTACGACTTACTTTAGTTCTCTGTTGTTTTAACCGTTTCCTCTTCCTAACATAACATGGTAGGATGTATCTTCTTTAAATAGGGGAAATGTACTTATAAATAAGATATTATTTAACAATCTGTCATTCAAGAAGAAAGCTGACGCTTGTAATAATAATTTAAAAAATCCAAACACATATTCTCTCCAAGTTAAGAGCAGTTTATCATAGGTGGTTCTGAAATGTTGGTTTGGGGGAAGTTTTCAAGGTTTTCTGTTTTTGTTTTGTAAAATAAGAGTGAACACCCTCTGCTTCCTCCCAATCCTTCTCTCTCTTTTCCTACGCAAAGATAACCCTAACAATATATTTCTCCCCCCACCCCTTCCTGAGATGAATTCATAAGCAACACAAAAAGTCCTTCCTATTATTATTTGGGGTGGGCCTTCTAATTACAATGTTCACTGAGAGAACACAGGAAACAAGTGGTTTTTCTTTTCCGAGATGGAGTCTTGCTCTGTCGCCCAGGGTGGAGTACAGTGGCGTGATCTCAGCTTACTTCAACCTCTGCCTCCCGGATTCAAGCAATTCTCCTGCCTCAGCCTCCCGAGTAGCTGGGATCACAGGCACCTGCCACAACATCCGGCTAATTTTTGTATTTTTAGTAGAGACAGGGTTTCACCACGTTGGCCAGGCTGGTCTCTTAACTGCTGACCTCATGATCCGCCCTCTTCGCTCTCCCAAAGTGCTGGGGTTCCTTGGCCAAACTGCACGTGCGGTCTCTCTTAATAGTTATCAGATGATGATGGGGGCAGGGTGGGTGGAGAAAGGGGGTGACAAGAAAAGCCACCTCTGCACACAACGATGAGCCAATTTTGTCAGACCTGCGCCAGGATAACATTTCGTAATGGATAGTTCAACCAGACTCAAGTAGAAAAGCAATGGCTCATGGAAAACATGGTTAAAGCAGAAGCCTGATGTAACTTTATTTGGGCTGCGCTTTCATCTTTCGTTAAATAACTTAGGGACCGAATAACGGGCCCCACCAGCAAATGCAAGCTCCCCTGCCTCCCAACCCGATTCTTCTGAGAACCTGCTGCCATCTGCCTGACCTCCTGTAAGATGGCTCCTACGCGACGACCCTGCCAGAGAATCAGCTATATGTGCCACAAACATGTCCACAGATCGCCGGCGTGCCTCAGCCCACTGACACTTGAAGTCGGACTGCGGCAGAAGGGCGACCTCACATTTGATGCCTTTTGTCTCCCTGAACCAAAGACTCCCTCTCCTTCCCTTTCCTTCCACGCTCATTGCTTTCTCTTTAGCCCCAGTAAAGCAGCGTGAGAGAGAAAACAAACTGATTTCTTCTTCCGGGGGTACCCCGGAGCATCGCTGCAGACCCCGGCAGGCGGCGGAGCCGACGCGCCCCGGGAGTGCGGAGAGGTTGCGGAACGTGCGCCCTCCTCCTCCAGCTTCCCCTGCCGCGCGTCCCGCAACCTCTCCGGCTTCCCAGAGAGCCGGATGCAGCCGGAGGGTCAGGCTGGCGGCTGGGGTCCCGCGGGCGGAAGTGAGAAGAGCGGCGGGGGAGGAGGCTGCGGGCTGGGGGCTGGGATTCCCTTCCCGCCTGGCGCCGCCCGGGAGAGCCCGCGCGAAGACGCCTGGCGCGCTGCGGCCGTCCTTTTTTGGCGCTGAGAGAAAGGAGAAGGGCAGCGCCGCCGCCTCGCGGGAGCGGACCCTGGGAGGAGGGGCCGCCGGAGAGGCCGGGCGAGCGCGGGCGGCCCTCACCTCGCTGCTCCTCCTGGGCCGCCATCCCTCGGCGCCTCACCCGGAACCGGCGCGCGCGTGGGGGCGGGGAAGCCGGCGCGCAGATCTGGCGGTGAGCGCCGCAGCCCTGGGGCCCCCAGCCATGTCGGCCGAGGAGATGGTGCAGATCCGCCTGGAGGACCGCTGCTACCCGGTGAGCAAGAGGAAGCTCATCGAGCAGAGCGACTACTTCCGCGCCCTCTACCGCTCCGGCATGCGCGAGGCCCTGAGCCAGGAGGCCGGCGGCCCGGAGGTGCAGCAGCTGCGCGGCCTCAGCGCGCCAGGCCTGCGGCTGGTCCTGGACTTCATCAACGCCGGCGGGGCCCGCGAAGGCTGGCTCCTGGGCCCGCGCGGGGAGAAGGGCGGCGGGGTGGACGAGGACGAAGAGATGGACGAGGTGAGCCTGCTGTCCGAGCTGGTGGAGGCGGCCTCCTTCCTGCAGGTCACGTCCCTGCTGCAGCTGCTGCTGTCCCAGGTGCGGCTTAACAACTGCCTGGAGATGTACCGCCTGGCGCAGGTGTACGGGCTGCCCGACCTGCAGGAGGCCTGTCTGCGCTTCATGGTCGTCCACTTCCACGAGGTGCTGTGCAAGCCCCAGTTCCACCTCCTGGGATCTCCTCCCCAAGCCCCAGGGGATGTCAGCCTGAAGCAGAGGCTGAGGGAGGCCCGGATGACTGGGACTCCTGTCCTCGTGGCCCTTGGGGACTTCCTGGGGGGACCCCTGGCCCCTCACCCCTACCAGGGGGAGCCCCCGTCCATGCTCAGGTACGAGGAAATGACTGAGCGCTGGTTCCCTCTGGCCAACAACCTTCCTCCCGACCTGGTCAATGTCAGGGGCTATGGGTCCGCCATCCTGGACAACTACCTCTTCATAGTGGGCGGGTACAGGATCACCAGTCAGGAGATCTCCGCTGCGCATTCCTACAACCCCAGCACCAACGAATGGCTCCAGGTGGCCTCCATGAACCAGAAGAGGTAAGCACCCCGGCAGAGTGCTAATGCCTTCTCATTCATTCACTTGTTCATTAGTTCATTGCCCCAGTGTTTACTGAGCCAGTAAATAGGGAAGGGTGTGCTGAGGTGGAAATGACATCTTCAGGAATGTTGGCCTTAGTCCTGGTAAAATCCCCAGTGAACTAAGAAATTGCAAAGAGGAAGTCCCCAGTGAGGTCAAGTAGCTGAGTGGTTTTTTGGCAGGTATTGTGCCTTTAGGTGAAACTGCTTTCTGTGGCTCTGTCCTCGTGAAAAAAGATGTTGTGGTTTCCTACAAGAATACTTTAAAAGAAAATTACTCCTTAATTAAAAAAATTTTTGTCTTAGTTTTTAGGATCTGATCCTGATGATAATGATACATTAGACAATAACCTGTAACACTGACTTTTTTTTTTTTTCCTGTTGTCAGTGACTGTGACAACAGAGCCTTCCACACTGTGACACCCATCCATGATCAAGAGATAATTACGGGAAATGTATTTATATTTGCAGTAGGGGTTGCTTTTCTTATTTTTTTTTTATCTTCTCTTTTGCTTCCTTCCCTGGACAGCCATCATCACTGACCCAAAGCTTGAGGCTGGAAGTGTTCAACTTCAGAATTGGACATTTTCATTAACCCAATCTTCTCCCCCTCCCATCCTGCGAATCCCTCCTGCCAACAACATGGGTGACTTGAAGAAAGGAAGAGGAGGAGCTTGGGGAGTGGGATGAGAGGGAAGAAGGGAAAGGAACCAGGGAAAGAATATGAAAACAAGAGCAAAGAGCATATACAGGAACAGATGGTAGGAAATAAAGATAGTAGCACCCAGGAGGCCTCAGAGTCATTCGGAAGCGGGGAAAATAATCCATGTATCTCAAGAAAGGATGAAAATACCCTTTCTTACCATCCACCTGTTTCCATCTCAGTCCTCACAGGATCCTGGTCCTGAAGTGTGGAGCAAGGAGTTGGGGAACTCACAGCTAGGCAAAGAAAGTCTTAACAGTAACAGTGAAGCCATTATATATCTATTGGACTTGAGAGTCCTCCTATGCCGGGGATCATTTGGGTAAATAACTGGCGTGCTTTCTCCTATAATATGAGATTCATTTTGAAAAGTATGCTTTTTTTTTTTTTGCCTGATAATATATAGTTGCAGAAAACTAGAAAATGAAAAATAATGGAGAAGCAAAAAGATGATTATTTCTACTCACTCCTCCTAGAGGCAGTAACTGCAGGTTGGCATATTTCCTGCCAGCACATTTTTAATGCATTATTTACACCGTTGAGATGATGCCATGTTTAAAATTTGGTACCAGGAGTGTTATTTTAAAACAAATTGTATGTGCTGTAATTGAAACAACAAAGGAACATTGTGTGGCTATAGGCGGTGGTCTGAGTAGGGGTGGACAGCCCTGAGTTCGCTGTCTCCTTTTGCACTTGCCTCCAGCTACACATCATTTGGTGCTCACCAGGCCATCCTTAGTGCCACAGTGCCTCACAGTTCTTTCTTCCCTTCATACATCCTTGGTAGTCTTTGTCTTTTTTTCTGGGAAGGCCCTTTTCATCCCCTTAATGCTTAAAAAAAAAAAAAGCATTCAAGTAATGCGTGAATGCATGCTTCTTAGAAAAACTGCACATTACACAAAAAAGTCTAGAGTAAATGTCTGCCCTCAGGGTACAGAAAGAAAAAAAAGTGTCACTCTATCAACAGACTTTTGTTACCTTTAGATACTATAAATGTATAAACATTTGTATTTGTAAATTATATATATACTTATATAAATACAGTTAACCCTTAAACAATGTGGGGGCTAGGGACACCAGCCCCTGCATAGTACAAAATCCCCATATAACTTTTAACTCTCAAAAACTCAACTACTAAATAGCCTACTGTTTTAACACGTTTTGTATATGTATTAAATACTTCATTCTAACAATAGAGAATGTTATAGAAAATAAAATGTTATTAAAAAACTCTAAGGAAGAGAAAATTAAGTAGAAGTGGATCATCCTCATCAACTTCATGTTGCGTAGGCTGAGGAGGAGAAGGAGGTAGAGGAGGGATTGGTTTTGCTGTCTTGGGTGGCAGAGGCAGAAGACAATCTGAATATGAGTGGACCCTCTCAGTTCAAACCTGTGTTGTGAAAGGGTCAGCTGTAGTGGTTAGCAGTAGGGGAAAAGGATTTATGTATATTAATGTGCATGGGGGTATGCGTATTAACTTACACATTTTTTAAATTCTAAAATTGACTAGATTGTACTAATTATTAATGGCACTTGATATTTCCACTTAGCCATATCTGAGAATTTTTTTCTGTGTCAACAAATGTAGATCTACCTCACTCTTTTTAATGACTGTATGGCATTCCAGCCTCTGGATGTACCATAATGTAGTTAGCCTTTCCCTTATTTATGAACATTTAGGTCACTTCCATTTGCATTAGATGTTTCAATAACCATTGCCATATTGAACATCCTGGTAGATGCATGTGTGTATCTTAGTAGTCATATGTGAGTTAGTTTCATATGTCGAATTCGTGGAATCCCTGGATAAGTAGGGCAAAGTGTATGCATGTGTCAAGTTTTGTTGAAGCTGGGTGCAGTGGTTCATGCCTGTAGTCCCAGCTACTTGGGAGGCTTAGGCAGGAGGATCACTTGAGCCCAGGAGCTGGAGGCTGCAGTGCACTATGATCAGGCATGTGAATAACCATTGCATTCTAGCCTGAGCAACACAGTGAGACCCCGTCTCTGTAAACAGTTAAAAATAAATAAATAGATTTTGGTAGCTCCTGCCAAATTGCCCATCAAGAAAATTGTTCTGTCCCTCTTCCATCAACAGTATTTGTGCTTGCCAGTACCCTATACTCTTGCCAAGATAGAATATTATCATCTTTTTTTCCCCCAAACCTAATGGGCAAAAACACTAGTATGATTTTTCCCAATTAGAAGAGAGATTATTCTTTTTTTTTTTTTTTTTTGAGAGATTATTCTTTTTATATGTTGGTTGGCCATTTGTATTTCTTTTGTAAATGGTCTGTGCCAGTTTTCTAAAAATTGGCTTATTTTCTTCACATTCATTTTAGCAGTTCTACATATGAATAGAGACGTTAATCTCTTGCCTGTTATGTAATGTTGTGTATGTTTTCCCATGCCATTATTTTTCTGCACGGTTCAAGTAACTGGGTAGGTGAAATTGTTGCGTAGAAGGGTGCATGGGAGTTATGATGAAGCTGAGAGCTATTGCCCCACCAAAAGAGGGCTCCACCTCTCAGCCACAGCTGGTTACTTCCACGTGGAAGTGAGGAAATTTTGCTAGACATCCAAATAGCCCTTTATTTTTTTCTTTTTTTTTAAGAGACGGAGTCTTGCTCTGTCACCCAGGCTGGAGTACGATGGTGTGCTCATAGCTCACTGTAACCTTCAACTCCTGGGCTCAAGCAATCTTCCTGCTTCAACCTCCCCAGTAGCTGGGACTATAGGCATGCAGCACTGTGCTTGGTTAATTTTTAAAATTAAACTTTTTTTGTAGAAACAGGCGCTCACTGTTACCCAGGCTGGTCTTGAATTCCTGGCCTCAGGTGATCCTCCCATCATGGCCTCCCAAATTGCTAAAATTACATGCCACCATGCCAGGCCCTCCGTTATATCTTCTAACTGATTATTGATGCTGTATTGGAAATTATACCCTTCTTTAGCTCACTTCTGCTTTGACTCAAGTGTGACATATCTCCCAGGAGTTCCTTCCTGAACTTTCACTTGGGCTGCGTGTTCCATTTCTGCTTCTCTAGCATCTCAATGCACACTCCCCAACTTGAATTGAAATTCTCTGTTATCTCCCTCCCTTCCCATCAGGAACTAGGACTTATTCAATGCTAATGTATAGTCTTACTCCTAAGAAGCTGTCCAGTAATAATAGGTGCTTAAAGTACCTGTTTTCTTTAAAAAAAAAAAAAAGGAATATATTTTTACATTATTGTAATAAAAATTAATGGTATAATTTTATATTTTGCTTTATTTGTAACACTATAGTGAACATTTTTACCTTGGTAACAGTCATTATATTTATTTAGAGTAGTGGAAGAATAATGAGAGACATCATTTAATTGAACACTTAACTCTGCACTAGGTACTGTTCCCACTGCTTTGCATGTATTATCTCACTTATTCTTCTCAAGGGCTGTTAGGCAGGTTCCCATTTTATAGAGACAGCAAGTGAAGCACAGAGAAGTTAAGTAAATTGCTCAAGGATGTGTAGTAAGTACAATAACCAAAATATAAATATCCATGGAGTAGCTATAACCGTTTAAATTGTTTAGAAGTTTTGGTTTTTAGACTTACAGGGACCATCTTCATGCACATTTCCCCCCTTCTTTAAAACAAAAATATTTTCTTCTAAGAAATAGAGCACAGATATTTTGTGGTACTGTGCTGCTTTTCAGAATTTCATCATGTGTGCCTCAGCTCCACCACAGCTTGTAAAGTCCAGCATTTTTCTAGTCACTATTGGATACATAGAAACTGGTGACACAGTTGCTGCCCTCAAGAAGTTTAAAATTGAGTTTAGATGATGAGACGTAAAAATGAAACCTAGCATGGAGTTGTTCCTGGATGATGCATCCAATACAGGTCCTGCATGCACTGGAAGAAATTTGGAACCTTGAGAAAGAAAAGCAGATTTTGGCCTCTGGCTATGCAGAATTTCACATCTACTTTGATTAACCTTTGTTGGAGACTGCTTTGGGATGTATCAGTATTTTACTTTGATAAAGGGGTCAAATGTAGAGCAGTTCACTTTTCCCAGAGACTGAATAGTGCAGTAATCCAGAATCTTAAATAGCAGGAACTCTGGAATAGAGAGATTTTATAAAGCCTTTTGCACTCTGTTGAAAATGGTGCTATGTGACCATCGGGGGGTTAAAAAAAAAATGTTTTGCTCTGTAGGCCAAGGGTGCAATACCTTCTG